ACATCGGTCGCGGCGTAAAGCAACAATGGACCGTGTGGAAAAAAAAATACTTTACTTCGTGTGATCCCCACCATGACATTTATACATTTTCTTACTGGCAAATCTTCTGGCATTCTATCTTACATATCTTCTGGCATTCTATCTGGCATATATTCTGACATATCTTCTGGCATCTGTTCTTCTGGCCTATCTTCTGGCATTCTATCTGGCAAATCTTCTGGCATTCTATCTGGCATATCTTCTGGCATATATTCTGACATATCTTCTGGCATCTGTTCTTCTGGCCTATCTTCTGGCATTCTATCTGGCAAGTCTTCTGGCATTCTATCTGGCATATCTTCTGGCATATATTCTGACAAATCTTCTGGCATTCTATCTGACATTCCATCTGGCATATCTTCTGGCATATCTTCTGGCATATCTTCTGGCATTCTATCTGGCATATCTTCTGGCATATTATCTGGCAAATCTTCTGGCATTCTATCTGGCATATCTTCTGGCATTCTATCTGACATTCTATCTGGCATATCTTCTGGCATTCTATATGGCAGATCTTCTGGCATTATATCTGGCATATCTTCTGGCATTCTATCTGGCATACCTTCTGGCATTCTATCTGGCATATATCAGGGCTATCTTCTGGCATTCTATCTGACATTCCATCTGGCATATCTTCTGGCATTCTATCTGGCCACCTGCAAAGTAAGAAGTGGCATTGCCCCGGTCACTCTACCACACACGCGCGAGTTTACAAGTAATATATAACATACTTGTCTGACATTCTTTCTAACTTTCTTCTGCACATTCTTTGTCCCATATCTTCCTACATGAGGTCCGGCAGGGAACACTTGGCGTGGATACTCGCGGTTGAGGTCCGGCAGGGAACACTGGGCGTGGATGGTCGTGGTTGAGGTCCGGCAGGGAACACTGGGCGGGGATGGTCGTGGTTGAGGTCCGGCAGGGAACACTGGGCGTGGATGGTCGTGGTTGAGGTCCGACAGAGAACACTGTGCGTCGAGGGTTGCGGTTGAGCAGGAGGAGGAGGAGAGGAGAGGAGGAGAGGAGAGGAGGAGAGGAGCAGGCAACTGACATAAAATCTAACAACCCTCACCTGGCAGGTGGGGAAATATACAGATTTAACAATTTGAGAAAACATTGTATTCTACATTGATTTATATATGTAGATATTGCCTGATTCGAACCTTATATATCAGGTATATATATATATATACATACGGAGGTTTTCTAAAATAGGAGGACCCTCAAATCATCCATTTGAATAGGATTTTCCATGATAAATCATCCATTGCGAAGATCCTCCATTTATGGATACCCCTTCAGTTATTGAAATTAGCCTACCGTTATCAAACATCCCCAATTCCCAAGGCACTTTTCCAATTTTTTGCAATATTTTGCAACATATATTGTTAGCTGTTGATTTGTTTGGAGATTTCCCGCTACAGAACTTGCCTTCAGCGATTGTTTTGGGCGTCCAGATCGCGCATCGCCATGCGATGTCGTGGCGGCACGCGGAGAGGAGGGGAGGGTGAGTTGAAATTGGGAATGAACAGAGATCGATATGGGGACTTCAAACATGTATATATATATAATTACATGTCTATGTCTATATGCATATATGTATATAGCGTCAACCCCCCACCAGAACCTACCTTTATCATTTTTCAGCGTTTTTTTCAATATACAGGACAAAACATTATATGTACATATACAGGCTTTATACTTGTAGATATACTATCTGGGTAAATTTCATCACGACCTCACTGCGACCTCACTGGAAACATGGTTTATATAAGGGGAATCATCCCAAACTGGCCGCAAGATTCAGGTCAGTGAATTACTGTATTCTCATTTTCCCAGATACTATATATAGGACTATAATGAGAATAAAACGGAATATCAGGGACCCTAATTCATATGAGCAACGTGTATGGCACGGGTTTGTCGATAAAGATGCCGGGATGCTCCATGGCCGGATTAGCAGAATGAGGATACAATCTACAAATCTTGTGGGTTCAAAACCTCTGTTGGCTGATGATTAGTTCGGGGATTCTACTACCCTTCGTATATTGGGGATGATTTCATAATGCAATAGAGGAACCCCTATAAACCAACCAGGATTAAATGGAATGATAGAGGGATTTTGAACACAATTTAAACACAATCTACACATCTACAAATGTCGGTTCACCCAGTTATAAGATGGTTTGTAAACCCCATTAACATTCATTAACTATACTAAACCATAGTTATTGGAGCTATAAACCAACTTGGCTATCGTTTGGGGGCCCCACATTCTACAAATGTTGTGGGTTCACCCAGTAGCATGGCAATAGTGCCACGAATACACTCGGGACGCCATGTCGAATGGGTGATGTATCTAAGTTTAGCCATGTTCCGGTTGCAAGTTAGGTACAATCTGAGTAACGCACTAGGATCCACCATGCCCAAATCTACTATAAATGTGAGTTTAAACCATAAACAAATGGATGTTGTTTATGGCTTTACTACATCCAATGATTGCCATCCAGGATCAATATGACACTTAGGATGAACACAAGAGATGCATTCATGCCGTTCTCTGCTCCGGTCAATGTTGGAAATGGCGCAGAAGGATTGCATAACCTGTGGAAAATGACCTTTGGTTTCAAACTCCATAGTCTCAAAAATGCCGAGTCGTTAACGTCTGAAATCACACTCACTAAATGACAGGATGGAAGGTCACAAAGTAGAAATTAGGACGAAACAACTACTATCCAGTTGATTCATCGTTTGTCTATGATTTTCCCTCAGAAAACATGTCCTTTTTCACAGATCTGCGTGAACAAAATTCTGCCAGACTCTGAGCACCGCAACCTGTTGCGATCTTTCAAAGCCAACATTTCCACGTCCTCGTCAGACGCCAGTGATGGCAGCGAGTTGATGGGGAAATCATCCGAAAAGGCGGCTTTTCCATTGCCGAGATCGTCCAATGGAAATCCCTACAAGGTGGGGCCCCCGTTCGATAGCTAAGTTGTACAAATAACTCCAATAACTATGGTTTATGGTACTTAGAACTATAGTTATGGGGTTTATAAACCAACTTATAACTGGGGGGCCCCACATTGAAACCATTGAATTCCCATCCCTTTGACAGACTTTGTAACCATTGCGCAAAGATTCCAATTGAAACTTCCAAAGGGTTTCATGGTGGTTACCTCCCTTCCAGGGAATTCTGTTGACCTATCATGTTCTATTGTATTGGCCAGCAAGGTTTCATGAAACCCCAGTTTCTTTTCGGTTTTCTGGCATCTGTTGTTGTCCTTATGATGGGTAAAGTATGACACCATTTCACGACATCACGACGTCCGAAAAGGTTTCCAGCCACTTGAGCAGTGGCTGCTAAACCACCATTGGTTGATGCGCCTGGTTCTGGGATTACCCTCTGGTTATGTCAAAATAGCTATTGAAAATGGCCATTTATAGTGAGTTTCCCCATTAAAAATTGTGATTTTCCATAGTTATGTTAGTTTACCAGAGGGTATACTACCCAATATATCTTGGGGTTTATCATAATCCATTCTGGGAATCCTAAAGAACTCACGATGGATACTTGGATGTGCATCCCACACTGGATGTAAGTGATGGTTTATAATCCATACAACCCATTAATACCCATTATAACTTCCCATATAATCCCATATAATAGGGGATATTCCATATATAACTGGAGGTATCACCCATTTACTAAGTGGCATGCACCAAGTCCCAGGCTAAGCCAGAGTTCTCTTGCCTCCATTATAAGTAGATTTAGACCCCCCCATGAACGATAGTTGATTTAGATATTTAGTTGATATACCTCCAGTAAACTAACAGTTTGCTATGGATCATGGCCCATTTATAGATGGTTTACCTATTAAACATGATTATTTTCAATAGTTATGTTAAATTACCAGAGGGTATATATATATATATATATGTATAAAAACCAATTCAATTTAGAAACCACATTTAGTTATATACTTCTTCTTTGGACTTCTAAACCAAACCCTTTGGGACCCCCTCCTACCACTTACCGTGGAACACGTGACATCAGATGACATGAGATTTGCGGATGCGGATGGTAGGTGGCCCATGATTAGATGCTTTACCGACAGTAAGCAACTTGATTTTCCTTACCTTAAATTTATAATATACCTGATGTTGTTTGTCAATATATGTAATATGATTCCGTGGGTACTTGGAATTTTCGACATGTTTGCCGTGCCTCGCCTGCTGAAAACCAGCCGCGCCACCTGAGCGCCATATCCTAAAGTTTCTAAAGGGTAGTGATTTGTGACATAGCTACCAAACATCATGAACCATCATTTATTCTATTTATGGTTGAATTTATCCTAAAGGATCAAACATCCGCATGGCTTAATGGCTAAATGATCTACCCTCTGGTGAACTAACATAACAATGGAAAATCAGCATGTTTAATGGGTAAATCCACTATAAATCACCATTTTCAATAGCTCTGAAACAGATTGCCAGAGGGTAAATCGAAGTGTCAACCATCATGAAGCATCATGAAACGCTCTTGGGATGGCTTAAATTTGGCGAGCCTGACAGGGTGACAGGGAGGTGTAGGAACGTAGATAAAGTGGATGTGATATATATATATATATATATTATAATACATTTACATATATTTAATACATATACAGTATCATATACATATATATATACATACATATATATCTATATACAACAGTTGTGTGTACACGCCAAGTTTAAGGTCCGTCTCAACAACTGTATTCTCAGGTGGTTCTCGACATCCATGTCTTGATTTTCCATTTCATATCCACGCAAGTTGAGGCCACCGATTTTTGAGTTTGTTGATAAAATTGCATAACCCCCCCAGTTATATACAGTTATGTTATCATCATTCAACCCCTCAGAGTTTTCACCCGGCAAAAAAAAAGTGCCTAAACTCAACTCGCGATTGACAAAAAAGCGCCATGGACCTGCCGAGACTGTTGGGCCTTCGTGTTGTTTTGCCCAGTGGACGCTGTGAAGATGTGACTCTTGAGGGTGGCAGTCGAATCAGTGACTCGGACTCCGGCATACTCCGACTCGGACCGTGCGCAAATAGGATGTAGGTGTCTGACCCACTGAAAGATATAGGTTATATAATGATACATTATTTTAATACAGTAACACATGTAACTCTAAATGTGTATATATATATATGTATACATATATATATATACCAGCACCACCCAATGGCTGGCCAATCATAGGCCGTTTGCAAAGGTCACCAATTGTGGTACGTTTGCATCGTGTCATTTGTGGATGCATCATACATCATAGATTCTCATATATATTGATTAGCTTAATCAATTGCCACATAAACCGCCCAATTCCAGGTTGACCAATTGCAGGTTGACACTTTGCCAATTGCCACCGCAGCCTGCGAGGGGCGCAAGGCAACTGAGTCCAACCAGGCAGTGGGATCAGTGTGGATAAGATAGAGTCTAGACATGATTAACCAGAACCATCTAGAACCTTAACACAGCAGTTTTCACTAATTTATTAAGTTTCACACTTCAACTTACTCTGCGCTGTGTGGAGCCATGCCGCAAACATCTATATCACCTGGGTCGAAGATACTTGGATATTGTTAAGGTTGCTTGGGGGGTGATCACAAGGGGACAATGGGAACTTTTGTGGCTAAGTGGGCATCGAGGGGTTATTGGTGACTCAGCCATGCATCTAAGGAAGTTGGCCCAGCAAATGCTGGACCGGGCCCCCGATGATATATCCTGCGATCAGGACCTTGTGAATGGTGGGGACTTGAGATCAAGGGGAAACTTATGGTTAAGGTCATCTTTCAAACATAGCGGTCTTTCTAAAGTTCCCCGGGAGAGTCAGATCCGACTGGTGGTGGCAAAGTTGGCGGCCAAGAGAAAACTGGGATCCTTGATTTGTATTGTTGGGGTGATTTTCAACTCAACTGGGTTGTGACTCTTGTGTCTTTGACAAACCATTGGAAGGATAGCATATTTTTTGACAATTGGCGACAGCCTCATGAACATCTAAGGATCGAAATTATCTGCTGATGCTCGTGACGAATGGATCCGTCAGCAAGTATCCCATCAAATTAAAATTTTATTGTTTGGGGCATTCAATTCTGAACTTGTTAGAAAATTGGCTTCCTGGAAAACCAATGAATCTAAGGCATTTCTTTGCCATGACGTGCTCCTGAAGCACAACAGAGCTAGCCGACGGGGATACCCCTTGCAATCCCCACATGACAGTCAGAAGTCTAGGGGGTCGCTTGAATCAAGGTTAGAACATTTTTGTTATTTCTCACAATTTGTTTGGGTAATTTTCACTGTGAGTGAAATTCATGAGTCCTTAACCAATATTTGCCCTCGGCGACCTTAGGTCATCCATGGACCAGTTGGAGACACAACCAGTCGATTCTGAATACTCCGGTGAGATTCCCAAGATCGATGCCACCGAAATGACACCTGGGCAAAAAAAACAAGTTACCTACCAAATAATTGTGGGCCTTGGGGTATGATACAATGTTATCTTTTACTTCCGATCGCATTGCCCAAGGATGATGTCAGGAACCCTTCCCACAATTGGTGACATACCACTTGGCCATGAAGCTTCGGAATCGGAGCCCCCTACAGATGATGAGGCGCATTGCCTAAATTGAGTTGGGATAAGTATAATTTGTTTTCTGCGTTCTTTTCTGGGTCCACTTTGGTAGCTGAACTTCACACCTGTTTGACCCCAATGTGATAGGATATATATATATATCTCTCTCTCTCTCTCTAAGATGCACCTCGATCTTATACAACCCATGAGAAACCTTCGTGTGATGCATACTTATATCTTATTGTCCGCTCATCTCCAGCAGCCCTCGCAGGACCAAAGTGAAGAAGAACAAATGGATAAGGCTAAGACGAAAGGAAAAAGTAACGAAGAGGCTAGGAAGTGAATTGGGGATTAAATGGTACACGAATGAAATTGGTCATAAGCAAGGTGCATCATCCAAATGTCCAAAAATGATTTGATGAATCATGGTTGGGTTTGTCATAATGTATGGTTCTGAAAACACACGCTGCCCAGATGGCAGCAAAAGACCCCTCCACTCCCGGATGCTGACTCGGACGAGGACACGAAGAAGAGCGGAGATGAGCAGTGTGGAGAAAGTGAAGAGGACGAGAAGAGCGAAGATGAAGAGAAGGATGGAGCAAGTGAAAAGGATGAGAAGAGCGAAGATGATGAGAAGGATGGAGAAAGCGAGGAGGACGAGAAGAAGAGCCAAGAGGAGAAGAAAGACAGCAGAAGTGAAGATGATGAGAAGAGCGAAGACGAGAAGGATGGAGAAAGTGGAGAAAGTGAGGAGGACGAGAAGAAAAGCCCAGAGGAGAAGAAAGACAGCAGAAGTGAAGATGATGAGAAGAGCGAGGACGAGAAGGATGGAGAAAGTGAGGAGGACGAGAAGAAGAGCCAAGAGAAGAAGGACAGCGAAAGTGAAGATGATGAGAAGAGCGAAGACGAGAAGGATGGAGAAAATGAGGAGGACGAGAAGAAGAGCCCAGAGGAGAAGAAAGACGGCAGATGTGAAGATGATGAGAAGAGCGAGGACGAGAAGAATGGAGAAAGTGAGGAGGACGAGAAGAAGAGTGAAGATGAAGAGAAGGATGGAAGGAGTGAGGATGATGAGGATAAAAAAGGTGATGAAAAGAAGGTTGGAGGCAGTGAAGATGAAGTGATGGAAGGAAGTGATGAGAAGGACGATAAGAGCGAAGATGAAGAGATGGAAGGAAGACCTGAGGATGAGAAGAGTGAAGAAGTTAAGGATGAAGCAGGCGATGAGAATGAAGATATGGCGGAAGACGAAGAGATGGAAGGAAGTGATGAGAAGGATGATAAGAGCGAAGATGAAGAGATGGAAGGAAGACCTGAGGAGGAAGAGAAGAGTGAAGAAGTTGAGGATGAAGGAAGTGATGACAATGAGGAGAAGAGCGAAAATGGCAAGAAGGATGATGCAGGAAGTGATGAAAACGACAAGAGTGAAGATGAAGAGATGGAAGGAAGACATGAAGAGGATGAGGAGAGCCAAGATGAGAAGCATGGAAGCAGCGAGGACGAAAAGGAGAAGAGTGATGTTGAAAAGAAAAATGGACTAGGTGAGGAGGATGAGAAGAAGAGCGAAGATGAAAAGATGGATGGAGGACATGACAAGGATCAGAGGAGCGAAGATGATGAGAAGGATGGAGAAAGTGAGGAGGACGAGAAGAAGAGCCAAGAGGAGAAGAAAGACAGCAGAAGTGAAGATGATGAGAAGAGCGAAGACGAGAAGGATGGAGAAAGTGAGGAGGACGAGAAGAAGAGCGCAGAGGAGAAGAAAGACAGCAGAAGTGAAGATGATGAGAAGAGCGAGGACGAGAAGCATGGAGAAAGTGAGGAGGACGAGAAGAAGAGCCCAGAGGAGAAGAAAGACGGCAGATGTGAAGATGATGAGAAGAGCGAGGACGAGAAGAATGGAGAAAGTGAGGAGGACGAGAAGAAGAGTGAAGATGAAGAGAAGGATGGAAGTAGTGAGGACAATCCGCTCTTACAGATCCCAGCCGCCCAGTCTTTGTTGAAGAAAGGACTCGCACCGGAGATGTTGGAAGTTTCGAAAGGCAGTCAAAGTTCAAACTCTTCTTCATCTTCTACCTCCTCTACATCAAGTGCTTCAAGCAGTGAAAGCAATGAAGAAGATGAACAACCAGTCATGAAAAGGCCAGCACAAAGGAAGAAGGTGACCAAGTCCCCACCGAAAGGTTTGGAGGCAGCCGTGGAAGAGGCCAGTACACTTGCAGCGTTTGACGCACTTCACATGACGAGATACTGGGACTACTGCAATGGGAAATTTCAACATCTGACTGCTCAAGAAGCTTTGTGTGAACTGGATGTTTCAGAATCAGTGGAAGCACCAAAGATTGATCCACAAAAACAATATGATAAGTTTCTTGCAACCGTCTTGCAGAAGAAGAGTGAAAGCAAAAGAAAGGTAGAGGAGGATATGAAGGAAGAACCGCTGGAAGACTTGCTTGACAGAGACCTTGAGAAGGAACCCCGTCTACCCGAACCACCTACCAAGCGGATCCGAAAGAAGTCTTCCGGTATCTAGGCTCAAAAAAATAATTGATGCTATAAATGTTGAGGCTATATTGAACTTAAAACCCCATATCATCATTATTTTTCGAGGCTTGATATTATAAACCCGTGGGGTATGTTGGGATTATCTGGTTGTTATCGTTCAGATGTAGTACCTTGTCACCCACTGAAACCACATCTCAGGTCTGCCAGATTGCCACTCTGCCCAGTCTGCTGCCTCCTCGGTGAAGCCAGAGCCGGAGGAGCGAGCCTCTCGGCCGTGGCTTTTCCGGGTGCTTGGGGTGAGGGGTTCCACACTCTTTGGAGCGAGGGTTCAGTATGGCATCTACAAATTTGAAATTTATTGTGTTAGTGGCCGACTCCCTTCAGGCTATGAAGGACAAAAAAACGCTGGTCCATGAGGAGAAATTCCAGGACTTCAGTGACTTCAGCGCGAACGCCTTTCGTGTTACAATAGGTAGATGTCAGCAAGTTGCCTTAGATAAAGCTGGTGGAAAGCTCCCGTTACCAGCAGAGCAGTTGGCCCTCATTAACAAGCACAGAGAAAAGAAAAATGCCAGACTAGCAACAGCGAAGCCTATCTCGATTGATGTACTTGTTTGATTCTGATTTGGGTTGTTCATATGTTTTATGATGATGTTTGAATAGTTCACTCTTCTGGGTTTGAATGGAATGGAGTAGCTAAGGAAATACGAACTTCTGTGCCGGGTGAATGACGCGCAGGACGGGTGGACTGTGGAGATTCGTCGCCGACTCGAAGGAAAAGCAGCTGGACAACTATACAAGGTTTGGATCACCCCAAAAGGACAACAGCTCTGGACTAAGAAACTTGGCTATGGGTTGATATGGTTGATGATTGGTGTACGGGGTCATGTTTAGTCCCAACATGATTAATTAAACATAACAGCAACTTTTCTATATCAATCCATTGCTTCAATCTAAGGGGATCAGCAAGCACTGCGGGCTTCACTGGCTGGGAGAGGCTGAATGAGATCCAAAAGTCTCTGAGGGACAAAAAAAAGGACTCGGAAACTGTTCCCGCTTCAATTTCCAAAACGGAAGGGTCATCAGCACCGCCCAAACGCACCAAAAGAAAGGTGACCGCTAAGACGAAGACCACTAAGAAGACGAAGACAGCGTCCAAGTAGGTTGTTGGATGCCCAAATTTAAATGCCCTGGACCATCAAATGTGCATTATATCTCAATTGTCAATTCTTATCATATGTATATTGGATCACACCCTAATTATACCAGAGTTATTTCTTCAGGGGATATGGTTTCAGGCGCGCCGCAATGGGGTATCAATGGCAAGTCATGGACCATAGACCACCCTCTCAAAGTTCTGGTTGTCATCCCAAGTTGCATTTTTTCTTATATCTTTTGGGGGCTTGGAGCCACACTTGTGTTCTGAACTTTCCGGCAGGGACATTGACCGTGCCTCGCCAGTGCCAAAATGTGCTTTCTGCTTGGGCGTACTTGTGACCTGCAACTTGGGAGTGGGAGTGACCATCACACAACATGGATGGGCCTTGGTTGAGGCACGATTTCAACACACCAGCATTTTGGCTGAGGACTTTCCTTAGGATTAGGGCCATGGATCCGAAGCGCTTGTTAGTGATCCTCACCTTACTTTCGCAGATTGAGCTGCCTCCTAGTCATGAAGCGAATGACTTTGTTCCTTGATTTGAACCATTAGCAAGGTTGAAAGGATTGTATATTCGAAAATGGGGTCCAAACTCACAAGGGGTTCGTTACAAAACGTTTCCTAGGTGGAGGTGTGCAGTGGACAAGGTGAACTGAGCCGTGCTCTCTGGAGAAGTGGCCGGCAGGGCAAAGCTTTTGATGTGTCTTGGTTGATATTGGATGCCTCAACACAAATCTGCCACGAAGGGCAAACCCTCAAACAAAAAATGTTGAGGTGGTCTACTCAAAGAACCACAACCTGCTACGAACGGTTGGCTTCCTATCGGTACTTGCAGCAGCTGCTCATCTCAACTAGTTGAGTTGCAATACTTCCCGACATCTTGTGTTGACATGGATGAATTCCACAACCCTCTTTCGCACAACGCTAAACATCACAATAGTACACAACATCACCCTATGGCAAAAACATATGTAAATTAAACGGCCCAGGTACGAAACACACGGGCAGGAGGGCTATTGTTCTTCGCACCACCATGTTCCACATGGGTGTTTTTGACCCCTGTCTGCATTGGCAATGTTGAAGAGTGAAACATTGTGAGCTTAGTCCAACTTGTAAATCTTGTCAAAAGAAAATGGTTATCAACCAGTTTCGTTGCGATTTGGGAAGTGTGGGGAGCAGTGGAGTTTTCACGGCCTTAGGTCTTCACCCAGTACTGGGAGGACTTGGCTTGACCCAGAAGGGTATCCCACCAAGTGTGTCTTGCTGGCAAACATCTTTGTGATGCGCATGCTGTACATGCTGCTTGGCTTCGAGCTTCAAGAGAAAACCAACAAATATCAAAAAACATCAAACGACACTCCATTCATAGAACAATGATGTGTTCAATGGCTTCCAACTAAGACTGTTCTACGCATGGCGTCGTGGAATTCACATAATGGTGGAGCAGCCAATCAGTTCAGCCCTGTCCTAAGTTGCAATCATCAAAGTTAAAGTTAATTGAGTTATTTAGAAACATTTTTAGATAAATAGCTGGCTTCTCCCCTTAACCTCAGGTCCTGTTTGATTGGGCACCAGTCAAGAAATTTCTGATTCTGTGCAATTCCAGGACTGCCCACGTGTCCTCAGTTAAATGCTCGCGTTGATGATATTGATTTGTTGACCCCTGCAGGAAAGTTACGTTCCCCATGGGATCCTGGGGTGCTCCTTCGATGAAGTACACCACGAAGCCTATCTGAGATTATGGTTGGAGATGGTGTCATCATGTGTCAGCAATTGCATAATGTATCGGCCCCATATGGCATTGTTCATTTTGAACTGGTCATTTCCATTGGTAATGTGGGATCCTTTTTGGGCGGCAAGACAAAAACATACCAAACTGATAGTTATTTACCTGTTTCTGGTGCTGTTCCCTCCTGCATGTGCCCAAGGATATGGGGGACTCTTCCCGGTATCTCCAGCCTCCGTCGTCCTTTGGATTTGAAGCAGCTGAAGCGTGCCCTTGACGCCCTGACCAGGACATGGTGGGGCATCGGTGGAAGTGGGGGGGATTGATGCTTGTTTTTAAAGCCAAAACAATCCCAAACAATAGTAAACAACTGTCACATGATGGAGTGCTCGAAGTCGACTCATGTCTTCTGTGCAAACGAAAGCTGCCAGAATAGGCACAACATCGGTTTGTCGAAGGGACGTCCACCTTGACCCTGTAGCCAATCTGATGACTGATGATGACATGAGGGCGTTGTCTTCGTCTAGCTGTCAAGCTTTCACGCATGTGCCACTTGGAAGATTCCTCTTGCGACAGTCTGCCTTCCTCCAAGGTTTTCGTGCCCACACTCTCCGCACAGGAATGTGCATCATCAATCCTTTGAATGCATTGGTCAGACTTTTGCAGCCCAAATGTCCTAACTATAACCTATGATAATATTATCATTGTATGATATGAATACCCTCATACTAGGTTCTCTTCAACAAGTTGCCCAGTGCTTCACCCGGAAGGAACACCCTTGTCAAGAAGACGGTGGACAAAGCTGGCAAAAAGAGAGTCGAATCTTGTCTGCAAATATTACTTGGGTTCTGGGGTCCCTTGGTTTACTGGTGGCAAAGAATCTTATATATTTGCATGTTAACACATGACTAATGTGGGTTGATTGGACAATAAATTTGATAATAATATGGGTGGTTCACATCGAATCTCCAAATCTCAGGTGGGTATCAAAAAAGCTTTGGAGCAATCAGCGGTGTATCCTCGGGACTTTGCTTGGGCCATTGCTGGCCTGTTACCAGTGACTGGGAAGCGGCCGTCGAATGACGAAATCGATGTTTCATATCAAGGAACTGGTTCAGATTTAGGTGCCCTGGATGATTTGCTGAAAGGGCCTCGTAAAACTTGGTGGAGGCTAATTCAATAGTTCCGTACGGGGGATTGGTGTGGTGATTCACTGCGACAACTTCAAGTTCTACATGCTAGTCACCTATACAAAATGTGTTGCTTATATGAGGGAAACACCCATCTCCTGTATGTCAATATAGCCACCTTCTGAACTGAAATCTAATTAGTCTGCGCAGAGAGTGACGTTGAGAAAAATGTTTGGGGTTATGCCCCTCGGGTTTTCTGTGCGAATTTACAACGCTGCCAAAAGAACAAATTGTGTTGCAGTATTTAGGCTGGAAACAAATAAGGCGATCTACGGATAGATTTCGACCATGCCAGTTTGCCCCAAAATCTTGGAGCGATTATCTATCGCACGCCATGATCGAGCATGCCTGAGCTGTTGGCTGGGTGTTATTCAAACTTACCTTGTGGAGACCCTTGGCTACACATCCACTACCACGCTATTCCCAATTGCAATCCCAAATACATATCAAACCCTTTGACCTTTTGCCAAATCTATAATTCAGGACTGATGGAAAGCCTTATGGACCAGCCCAAGCAATCTCTCGTGATTGCAAATGTGAAGAGGTTTCAGTTCAGTCGATGCTAGCTGAAGAGAAGGCAGCCCAGAATAAAGCTGCTTCGATGGCCTAATTAGCTTTGGCTGGGTGTGGAACGGGGCCCAAAGATACATTGGTGGAGACCTTTATAATCCCTTAATATCTTTGGTTTCTGATAGATGTGTTTGATGAAAATTGGGCTAATTTAGAAATACCCCCCGGTGTCTCAGCCCTTCACCATTCACCAGCTCCAAAGTGGTCACGCGCCTGTTGTCCCGACACTGGGCCAGAACCTGCAAAGTTGTCGGAAAATAGGCCAATAGTGCGTGTCAAAGCGTGTCATTTGCGTGTCATTGGGTTGAGGGGTTGGCCCACCAATTGCAGTACATAGGTCCTATTGTATAAGCCAATTGTGAGCCGTTGGAAACGTGTCATTTGAAATCAGGGGTCCCCCTGCGTGTCATTTGCGTGTCGATTTTGCATACCTCAACTGGAGTTTCACACGCAACCATGGGGAATTTATTTCTGGCTCGGGTTCCAAGTCCTAGTGCAAAAGGCACGATACAAATAGGGTAGGTCCAATGGGTAAGAAAAACCCAACTGGTAGTTCTGAAGCTATCAGAATGGCAAAAGCCACGCCTTGTCCACCCAAAGCCCATCTAGAGTGGGAAGAGCAAAGGAGAAAACTCATCGAGGCTGTTGAGGAGGATAAACGTAGAGCTAAGAGACGGGAGGAGAAGGAGAAGGATGAGAAACTGAAAAAAACAGAGGCCAACCATGGTGAAGACAAGGAAAAGAGAAAGACTGGGGAGAAGGCAAAGGAGAAGCATGCAAAAGAGACCAAAACTCCAAAGAACACTGCAGCAGCCAGCAAGACGAAGGAAGATGAGAAGCCCAGGAAGAAGCAGAAGATGGCAGATGATGTTTCACAGCCAGAAGTGAAGCCATCGGGCCCTGCAGAAGCAAAGGAAGCAAAGGAGAAGAAAGATCAGGCCACAGGAGAAAAGAGAAAGACTGAGGAGAAAGCAAAGAAGAAGAAGGCAGGAGATGAAGAGAAAACGACTGAAGCTCAAGCGAGCGGTGCAGCAGCCAGCAAGACGAAGGAAGATGAGAAGTCCAAGAAGATAGAGAAAAAGGCAGATGAGGTTTCACAGCCAGAAGTGAAGCCATCGGGCTCTGCAGAAGCAAAGGAAGCAAAGGAGAAGAAAGATAAGGCCAAAGGAGAGAAGAAAAAGACTGAGGAGAAGGCAAAGAAGAAGGAGGCAGGAGATGAGAAGAAACAGACCGAAGCCCCAGCGAGCAGTGCAGCAGCCAGCAAGACCAAGGAAGATGAGAAGTCCAAAAAGATGGAGAAAAGGCCAGATGAAGTTTCACAGCCAGAAGTGAAGCCATCGGGCCCTGCAGAAGCAAAGGAAGCAAAGGAGAAGAAAGATAAGGCCACAGGAGAAAAGAGAAAGACTGAGGAGAAAGCAAAGAAGAAGAAGAAGAAGGCAGGAGATGAAGAGAAAAAGACTGAAGCTCGAGCGAGCGGTGTAGCAGCCAGCAAGACGAAGGAAGATGAGAAGTCCAAGAAGATAGAGAAAAAGGCAGATGAGGTTTCACAGCCAGAAGTGAAGCCATCGGGCTCTGCAGAAGCAAAGGAGATGAAAGATAAGGCCAAAGGAGAGAAGAAAAAAACTGAGGAGAAGGCAAAGAAGAAGGAGGCAGGAGATGAGAAGCAAAAGACCGAAGCTCCAGCGAGCAGTGCAGCAGCCAGCAAGACGAAGGAAGATGAGAAGCCCAGGAAGAAGCAGAAGATGGCAGATGATGTTTCACAGCCAGAAGTGAAGCCATCGGGCCCTGCAGAAGCAAAGGAAGCAAAGGAGAAGAAAGATAAGGCCAAAGGAGAAAAGAGAAAGACTGAGGAGAAGGCAAAGGAGAAGGAGGCAGGAGATGAGAAGACAAAGACCGAAGCTCCAGCGAGCAGTGCAGCAGCCAGCAAGACGAAGGAAGATGAGAAGACCAAGAAGAAACAGAAGATGGCAGATGATGTTTCACAGCCAGAAGTGAAGCCATCGGGCTCTACAGAAGCAAAGGAAGCAAAGGAGAAGAAAGATAAGGCCACAGGAGAAAAGAGAAAGACTGAGGAGAGGCCAAAGGAGAAGAAGGCAGGAGATGAAGAGAAAAAGACCGAAGCTCCAGCGAGCAGTGCAGCAGCCAGCAAGACGAAGGAAGATGAGAAGCCCAAGAAGAAGCAGAAGATGGCAGATGAGGTTTCACAGCCAGAAGTAAAGCCATCGGGCTTGGAGAAGAAGGCAGGAGATGAGAAGAAAAAGACCGAAGCTCCAGTGCGCAGTGCAGCAGCCAGCAAGACGAAGGAAGATGAGAAGCCCAAGAAGAAACAGAAGATGGCAGATGAGGTTTCACAGCCAGAAGTGAAGCCATCGGGCTCTGCAGAAGCAAAGGAAGCAAAGGAGAAGAAAGATAAGGCCACAGGAGAGAAGAGAAAGACTGAGGAGAAAGCAAAGGAGAAGAAGGCAGGAGATGAAGAGAAAAAGACCGAAGCTCGAGCGAGCAGTGCAGCAGCCAGCAAGACGAAGGAAGATGAGACGCCGAAGAAGGAAAAGAAGACCAACAGCAAGGCGACAAGGAAAGAAGGAGAAGAGAAGCAGCAGGATGAGCAGGATCACACTGAGATGAGCCTTGTCCTGGCAGTGCCCAGACCGTTGGTTGCGACCAGTGCAGCCGGTGGAAGTGAAGGAGATAAACCCACTGAGAAGGAGCAACAGGATGGCAAGAGCAAACATATCAAACCAAAGAGAAAGGCAGAGACACATGAAGATGACAGGAATGCAAAAGCCATAAAGGATGGTAAAGACGATGGAAAAGCAAAGGAAAGTCTAAGTCAGGACAGAATCTTACCATGGGTTTGGGTTACAGGTGTGTACATTGGGATCTTTAACCTGTTCTACTTTGACATTTTGACTTTGGTGGTTCCTTCAAACCTTGACTTTAAGTATGTCATATACATTCATATTACATATTCCTCCAAAGGACTAGGACCAATAGATCTTGAACGAATCCCATCAAGTCTATCCCAACTACTTCTCTCCAGGAGATGTTGATCGAAAAGACATCGACTTTGGAAAGCCTCGATTTCGGAGGACTTCTGTCACCACCCTTTTCTCAGAAGAGCCGAGTCACTCGAGATTTGGACTCTGAATTCGATGAGGCAGCAGACCCTTAGATTACTTTTTCAAATTGTATGTATGTCATTCATAGCTGCATCAATTTTGGGGTGGTAAATGAAAAACACCTAGGTTGAATCCCAATCCACTTAGGACACTCCAGCCCAAACCCAGTCGACGCCGCCATCATCAACGAGGGTGGCCCGGAAGAAGGACTTAACCGAGGAGGAAAAGGGCAAAATAGCGTCCATGTCAAAGCCATCTGACATGCCCTATGAAGATCCTTAGCTAAAATATATAGTCTGGTGCTTATCCATGGGTAAAGCTGCCACCTCAGCCCCATGATGCCCAATGAACTACCTGAAAAATAGTTTGAATAAACCTCAATTAACATAATTCATCCTATGGGTAGCCTTCCCTAAGGAACGCAAAAGACAGTATGCAGCGATGCGCCGTGCTATCTACAAGGATGCCAAACCTGAACTTGTGGCAAAGTTCTCGTTGTGTTCGGACAAAGAACGGTTCCATGAGTGCAAGTATATGTCTTGATTCTTGACAATTAAACGGTATATCCATAAGATGTCAGATATCAATTTATCATGTGTGAGCTCAGGTTTCAGATGTTGAAATCATGGGTCCAAAACCAAGACCTGGGAGAGATCGAGATCGAAGAAAAGTATGTCTCCTGGGTGCGTTCCTTGCGCACAGACCGCTATGTGACAGCCATACCCCCAGTAGTGTTTTCCCGAGTTACTTTAAAAGTTTATGGTGGCTAGATATCATGACAGTAGGTGCAATACCCCCTCCATCCTCATGTTTTTTTTCCTGAGGTGACAGTTTTCCAGCTGGAGAAAATGTTCGGGAAGTCTCAGGAGGCCAAAGAATTCATAGCGGAGTTGTGCCGCGGACACTTGGATAAACCCAAAAGACCCTGTTGATTTGTATTGATTTGTGATGCCATATTTCATTGGCAATGTTTAGTAGCCGATCCAATTATTCCACCTTATAAGTCACGCTGAATCTTAGGTCAGCAAGGGGTGCCGCACCCACAGGCCTGGTGTGGCTTGTGCTTGATGTTGAGGCTTTCTCGGCTGCACTCTTTCGTTTGTTGCGGCCTTGGCAGGCCCCGTCGAGCAAGAAAGCCAGAATGTTCAAAGTCTTGCGGGAGGTAATGGAAGAAAACACAACTGGCTCTGACTATACCTCCTCAGTGACTCGCTTTGTTCCCTTTACCTTTTTATACATGCTGATATTGTTATGTTAGTGTTAGCTACCAAGGATGGTATTCAAGAACATAGTATTGAAATAGGGTTCTTCATTTACTAACTATCTGAGGCGAGTCTTTCTGGAAGAGTCCGAGATGGGGGTGCCAAGCAATTGCTTGCCAAACAGCTTCAGGGGGTGGATGGGTCCATGCCAGCTTTCATGGACCTTACAACTGGTGCAATTCGTTCAAAGAAACCGAAGAAAGAAAAGAGCCCCCAAGAGGAAGCACAGATTGAGATAAAGAAGGTGAATAAAAAGATCTTAGACTTCATTCATGTAAGTTATTTCTTTTGGTCAACTGGTATTTTTGAGTTGGGGTAGTGTTACACCGTTGGTCGCTCTGGATTCAACCACCCCAGGTTCAAGCAGCTGATCAATGAAATTCCCAAGTTGGTTTCTGATCTCCAAGTACACAATGTGAGGAACTGCACAGAGCTGGTGTCTCGATTTGCAATATGTTTAACAGCTGTCAAGTCTCACAAGGATTCAAAACATTTTTTATGCACCAACAAAATCCAAATTCACGCTAGGTAGATGCCCTTCGGAAGCATGAAGGTGAAGCTCTTGCTGGATTTACTCGCACTGACAACTTGTTGAAGATTCCAGTGTCCGATTTGGACCCCATGAGTGTGATGTCCGATCTGGCATCCGAGAAAGATACGGCAAAGGTCATTGTTGGTGATGTCTCGGACGGCAAACGCCGTTTGAATGCTGCGAAGGGCCCCAAGCCTAAGAAACCTAAGGCTCCTGCCCCTGATGATGAGGATGGGTCAGAACTTGAGTGATCACACTTGTTGGATGATGGATGTTTAATTAAACAACTTGTTCAAAGACTATAATTTGAACCCAAACATTACCTTTCACGACCTGCTGCGGGGCTTGCCCTTTGCAATTCATGACCCTAGCTGCACACTCGCAGGCGTGATATCATGCAGTGACCACAACAGATGGGACCTGAAATTATTTCTTCTGGGCCCTTTGAAGGAAAGATGCCAACCACAATTGAACTATCCCTCACATATTATGTTGTCAGTGCTTGGATGGTCTCCATGTGGTTTAATTCAAATTTTAGATTTGATCAGATGGCCGCTTGATCTCAGATCCTAGGCCTCCGCACAACTGTCAGGCGTGAATGTCTGACTTTCCAAATCTTTATTGGCCTGTCGTGGCCGCTGTTGCACACGCAATGCTCGCCACGCAGGATGACCGGGAGTAAATTGAGTGTGTGATCAACTGTTCTTTTGAGAGCTTTGTGAACCCATTCAAAAGCCACCTAAAACTTATCAGTAAAGTAGGCAGGATTGACGTGGTAGATCTTTGAGTCAGCTCTGGCCGTTGGAACCCAAGCCAGTGTAACAACAGTTTGATCAATAACACATGCAATGTTCTTATCAATGGACTACTCCTTGAACCATATGGAATCAAAAAAACAATTTTGACAAAAGAGGGAATTGTTTAATTTATGTTGGGCACTTGCCAGCATCCAGCCATGTGGATCATGCCTCTGTATGGATTTGGTTGAAGAATTTCTGGAATTGGGGAAACTCGTATCTCAACTGCAATATTACCATGCAATTGTGTTGTTTTTTTTAAATAGGAAACCCGTTTGGGTACAACAATGAGCTAAGGTAAGCGTCCAAACATTAGTAGAGTTTCTACGGGTCCTACGCCGACGCATTCCTGGTCGACATCTCCCGCCACTTGGCCTCATAAGAGATTAAAAAAAATGTTCAATTTTATCATATATGTTTTGAACGCATCTTATATGTAATATGCACGGAGTATGATATCGAAAACGTGATATAGAACCCTGCATGTGGGATCCCCCTTAGGCATCTCCCAAAGTACATACTTGTCGACTATTCTTTGCCCAGGGCCAACCTGAAAGACTTGGTGAAGATTGGTGATGAGGGATCCAAACATGTTGGCCGAGATTTCTGGAGATGGCTGAACCGGCAACCATGGAGAAAAATGTTACCGTCACCAAAAAAGCAACTTAGCTACTAAGGATTTTGTATAGAAGTTCCTGTTGTTTTGATCTGATCACTATCCCAATGCCACCAATTCCACTCCGTTGCCCAGGATTGATCTAGTCTTGACGGATCGAAGTCGCCCAGACCCTGTCTACTTGGGAAAATGGCATATGTTCTTGCCCAGTGACCTGCACCTCATTTGAAATTTCCAGTGGTCGCTTAGTACTGGGCCTGCCACAGAATCAGTTTTCACATACTTTAACTTTTATGGGCCAAGGATCCATGCGATGTATACTTATGATCAAGCTCTTTTCCACGAACGATGGATTGGCCCTCCCGGTGTGCCTAGATGCAATTTGCGTTTACTTCATGCTGAGGGGGGGGCATGGGTGACTTGGACTTAGGTGCTGGAATCGTTCTGGCGCGCACAGCAATCACGGGATTGGTTTTTGAACCATCCTATCCTGAGCGATCCCGATCTTTGTCAGAACTTATTGTGTGCAGAATGTTTTTTTGTGGTAAGTTTTGTGATACTCAGTGAACATGTGTGCAGCATTGCGCATAAGGATGTGGACTTATCATTAGTATTTCCTATCCTGTGCCATGGGGATGACGCGGAATCGCATCGCCGCAGGAGTTTTACTGTGACTACAATCAGTAGCCCTTTGATGGGGGGTAAGTCCCCATGGGACCAAAGGTTCTTGGTGTATGTGATGGATGTCAACCACTCGTTGCCAGAAACAATTGAAACCCTTGATGCGTGGGTGGTGTACGGATTGGTCGAACTACAAACAGGTCAATTCATGACTGTTGATGTGTATGGGCAACCTTGTGAGAGAAAGTTTTCTGGACCAGTTTGTGGTATGTGATGGATGTCAACCACTCGTTGCCAGAAACAATTGAAACCCTTGATGCGTGGGTGGTGTACGGATTGGTCGAACTACAAACAGGTCAATTCATGACTGTTGATGTGTATGGGCAACCTTGTGAGAGAAAGTTTTCTGGACCAGTTTGTGGACCTTACAGGGGTGTCTTGTACGCGCTTAAGGGGGATCAAAAATTCCTCCAAAAAGCTTTGAAACTGACCACTTCCCGGACCTCTGAAAAATGCTGCATGTATTGTGGCGCCACTGCTAGTGGCCAATTGGTTTATTCGGCGTTTGGCGAAGGCGCGCCACATCGGTCTACACCTCAAACAACACTTGGGTTTATCACAGATGGGTGCCTTCCAAATCCATGGGTGAGGGTTCCTGGCTTCGACTTATCAATGGTTCTGACTGATTGGTTACACCTGGTCGATTTAGCAATAACTCCAGAAGCCTCAGCTAGTGCAGCTTAAGCTACGTTTAGTCAGTTTTGTTTGGGTGATTGATGTTTGGTTTCTTGTTGCTTTTCCCCATTGCCTCTCTGACCTTCTCTGATTCTTTGAATTGTAACTAGTATGCACTGCAGGCATTGGTTGAGCTGATCGCTTCTGATCTTGTATGGAAAGCGGATTCTGCAGAGGAAAGGCTTCGTCTGGCCTATGTGGACTTTTGCAGGGAATGCAAAAGACATGGTGTGCGTTGCTGGGTTGCAGTTTGTGCGGCCAAATGGAAAAAACATGGTCGATGATGGTACTGGTTGCACATCAATGCACCTAAGGAAACAAGGGACAATTTTCCATGCTGATTCTCGGTTGCAGCGGTGTGGTGACAGGATGTTTAGTTTTTGGATGTGTTTGGAGGATTCCGTTGTTTTTAGATGCATGGATGTATTACATATGTGATGTGCAGGAAACAACTCTACCCCCTTGGCAAAAAGAATTACCCTACGCTTGT